AGGACTCTATGGAGTCAGTTCTCCCTCTGTCTTTATGTGGGTTTAAGGCCTTGAACTAAGGTCATCAGCCTTGTGTAGGAAGCACTTTGTCTACTCACCAGCGTCATCAGTCTGTGATACCATATACTAAAAGCCAAACACACTGACCGTCACCCATAGGAGAATTTATGCAAGGTGATGTATGTTAATTTGATTGTAATAATTATTTTATTGTAGAAATAAAAATATATTGTACAAAGGCTGGAGAGATGGCCCAGGAGTTAAGAGCTCTGGCTGCTCTTCCAGGAGACCCAGATTCAATTCCAGCATCCACATGGCAGCTCACAACTGCTTGTAACTCCTCACACCCTCACACAGACAGAGATACATGCAGGCAAAACACCAACGCACATAAAATAAATAAATCTTAAAACAACAACAATAATATTATAAAAATTTTGAAAAAATTGTGCAATTAAAGTGTGGCACACACTTGCAACCTCAATACTTGGGAAGTGGAAACAGGAAGATCAGGGGCTCAAGAAAATACAAAATGAGTTTGATGTCCTGTTTCTACGGGGAAGAAACGTCTAGATAATTAAACATTAATTTAAGTGGCTGGAGAGACTGTTCCGTGTTGAGGATGGTGAGCTATGTGGCTAACCTGGGTTTGGTTCTCAGCACCCAAATGGCAGTTTACTATCTCCGTGACTTCAGCTTCAAGGGATCCAATGCCCTCTTCTGACCTCCACAGAAACCAGGCATGTATATGATGCAGCTACATGTACACAGGCAAAATGCTCATACATTTAAAATAAATCTTTAAAAATAGCTAGGCAATGGTGGTATGCACTTTTAATCCCAGCACTGGCGAGGCAGAGGCAGGCGGCTCTCTGTGAGTTTTAGGCCAGCCTGGTCTAGAAAGTGAGTTTCAGGACAGGCTCCAAAGCTACAGAGAAACCCTGTCTCGAAAAACAAAAACAAAAACAAAAAAAATTCCCCCCAAATTGTAGAAATCTAAAATTGAACAGACTGTTTGTCAAATACCCTGGTAGATTTTTTTTAAACAATTTATTTTTATTTTATGTACATTGTGTATTGTCTGCATGTATGTCTGTACGAGGGTGTTGAATTCCCTGGAACTGGAGTTTATAGACAGTTGTGAGCTGCCATGTGGGTCCTGGAAATTGAACCTGGGTCTTCTGGAAGAACACCATAAGAACAGTGTTCTTATGCGCTGAGCCATCTGTCCAGCCTCAGATTCTTCAAAAATGAAATGTTCAGAAGGGTTGGGGCCTGCACTGCTTTAGCAGTGGTTTTCAGTTCCCAGCACCCAAAGAGCTCGCAGCTGATTGTAACTGCAGCTCGAAGACAATCTGATGTCTCTGGTTTTTGTAAGCACCTGCACTCACATGCCCATAATACACACACGCACACACACACACACACACATAGACACACACACACACAGTGTTAAAATTAAAAAAGTAAGATTTAAAAATATGTGTAGATTACGTGAACCAGTCACTCTGCTACTATCTCCTGGGAGAAGTGAAATTTGTGTCCATACTGGGTCTTCCTTAGCAGGAAGTTCCTGGTTTGGAATGGCAGTCAGTGTGACTGGAGTCTTTAGAGCAAAACCTTTGGCTCTGGCAGCCCCGAAGGTCTTGGCCACCCTTTGCAGATATGCCAATTAAAGATGAAGAGTGGTGGGGAATAGAAGCAAAAAGGGGAGGAATTACCTAATCTGGCCACAGTGGGAAGAATAGATAATAAGGTTCAGTGACCTCTAAGTCCACCTTCCTGGTGGACATTAATTAGGGGTAAGGAGAGGATGAATGGGGCAAGGGAAGAGGTAATCATAACTAAGCAGGCCTTGTCAGGGTGTGGTCGGATTGATCAGGTCTCAGTTCCAGTTCTGCAAGGTGGTCATGCATGCTATCACCACTTTGGGGAGCAATCTCGTTCTCATTGTGCTGATTCCCTTTGCTCTGTGTGGGGTCAGAGCAGTGACACGTCTTTCTGCCTTCAATCGTGCCTGTAAAAGTCAATGCTTTTTTCAGCAAAAGTGGCGGCTGGTTGCTTCTTTTTCTTATTTGTTTTGTTTTATGTGTCTGGTCTGAGATTTGATGTCAACCCTCCTGCTTCAGTCCTGTGTGTGTACAACTGTGTGTGCCTGTGTTTGTGGAGGTCAGAAATTGACATCTTAAGAGTGTCTAGTGTCTTTCTCAATCACTCTCCACCGTATTTTGTATGTGTGCATGTGAGTGTGAGATGTGTGTGGCATTCGCACACATGTGTGGACAGGTGATTCTGTGTGTGCACAAGAAGGCGGAGGCAGCTATCTTCTCTATTACTTTCTACCTTGGTTCTTTGAGGCAGGAAATCTTGATGAACTTTGGTGCTTTAATTTTTCAGCTAGGCTGACAGCCACCTAACCACAATGATCCTCCTGTCTCTATACTCTTGAGGACTGGTGTTACAGGATGGCACAGGATCATACGTACCTTTAACATGTGTACTAAGGTCTGAACTTGGTCTTTCTGCTTGCTAAGTAATTGCTCTCAACTACTGAGCCATTTCTCCTTTTTTTGTTAATTTTAAACATTAAAAATGTTTATTTTATGTGTTATGAGTGTTTCCTTGCTTATATATCTGTGTACCACGTGTATACCTGGTGTAGGAGTAGGGAAATCCAATCCCCTGAAACTAGAGCTATACTTGGTTATGACCTGCCATGTGGGTGCTAGAAACTGAATATATATAAATATATATATTTATTTTTGAGACAGGGTTTTTCTCTGGTTTTGGAGTCTGTCCTGGAACTAGCTCTTGTAGACCAGGCTGGCCTCAAACTCACAGAGCTCCACCTGCCTCTGCCTCTCGAATGCTGGGATTAAAAGTGTGTGCCACCACTGCCCGGCGAGAAGACAGTGTTTTTAACTACCTAGTTATCTCTCTATCCCTCCACCTTATTTTTTGAGACAGTGTTTCACTTAACTTGGAGCTCACAATTCAGTTCGGTTGGCCGGTTAGCATGTCATAGAGATCCTCCTGTATCTGCTGTTAGTACTGGAACTGTAGGTACACACTCAGCGTTTTAGATGGGTGCTGGGATCTGAACTCACGCCTTCATAACTTCAGGGCAGTCACTTTACTGACCAAGCCATTTTCCTGGCCTCTACTTGGTCCAAGCATGAAGGTGCACATTCTCTACACAGTGGTTCTATTTGGGCACAAAAGCCATGGAAGCCATAAATACTTTTTCTTAGCGTTGGCACACAACAGGAACACCTGCTCCTCAGAAAGCCAGCCTTGGGCCTGCCGGAGAACACCAAAGGACAGATGGATCCTTACCATAACATCCCTAAATAGAAAGGCTGGCACTTACTGGAACCGCCTCTGAGGGTGTTAGCTGGCCAAAGGCTATTTCCAGTCCTTGCATTAGACGGAAGTGACTCTATTTTTTTTAATGCAATTTTCCTTACAAAAGCATACAGTTCTTACAAGAAAATGAGACTATGGTTTGGAGAGGGGACCATATCACATTCTTTTTCCTAAAGCCAGATGCACAAAGCCTCCTATCATGTGCTGGGAATTTTGCCATGGGGGATGACTCAGAAGTCTGGACGGCTGTACACCTAGAAAGAGAACTCAGTTTTCAGCTTTTGCCAAAGCTGCTTATGAAACCATTCTTATCTATGGTACCCACGAATGCAAAAACTGGTTCAATACTTTCTCTTTGCTATTATTGCCTGGATGCACCTCATCTGATCCCAACAGGCCTAGTCTACTGTGCTGCACTCCTGACCGTGACCTCTGATGACAAGGATATTGGATGACAAGCTGACGATCAGCACTGGATATCAAATTTAAAAACCTGCGCTGAGCGGGTGGAGTCAGTCTGTAATCCAAGGCAGGAGGATCAAGTGTAGCTTGAGCTACATGAGTTCCTGTTCCAAAAAGCTACCAAACAACAAATCAAAGAAAAACAAAATCTGTGCCTCCACACTTCACAGTTCGCTCCCGTGGAGGAATGTGCGAGCCCTTCAGATCCTAGCCTTGTCTGACTTTGGGCAACTCCTCACCTGGCGCAACGTCAGAGCGCTCCAGTGCCTCTGCTTGGTAGCCTGCCCATTGGTGTTCTGTTCTGAGCTACCAGCTAGAGAAGGAGTCACACAGGAGAGACTAGCGGCTTCTCTCGGTTATGGGCATGTTTGGTTTCCTGTTCAGCAGTAGTTTCCCAAAGCCTATCCTCACGCGCCTCTTCCCGCGACATCACGCTTCGCTCGCTACACCCGCGCAAATCATACAAACCTCCCAAATGGGGGAGAAAGAACAGCATCACCCCTAAACAGCGTCTGCTTCGAACCTGCCTTTATAGAAACTCATGGGGGCGTGGTCAGACCACAGGACGTACTGACGTCACGCGCGACGGAGGGCGGGTCAGCGCCGGCGCCGGCGTCCCTCACTGGGTCCCTAAGCTCCGGCGCTCAGGCTTCATCCTCTGCTGCCCGGCTGGTACCTGTCTCCTACTGTCCGCTCCCCGCCGCCGGGTCCTCACGTCGTCCGGGCCGCGCCGCCGACATGGGCCCGCGCCAGCCGCGCTGCGGGG